GATGAACGAACAACTCAAACCCGAATCCTTGTCAGATAAGAGGTGAGGTGAGCTAATCATAGACTGAAGACCCAGGTAAACAATGAATTCATCTTTTCTGTTTCTTATAGCAGTTTTGTAGTGTTTGTAGTGTGATCAACGTTTGCGTAAGTAGTAGACGTGTTAGGGAAGTAACACGTAACATTTTAATTATATTTTGCTAAAATGAACGAAATGACTCGAAAAAAGATTCGTTCATTTTGCTGAACGAGACTCAAAGGTCCGAGTCGGTAAAATGATCCGAACTTCCCATCACTACTGTGCACTGAACGCTCTCTCCTCCACATCATGAGTAGACTTGCCCCTTACTGCTGATTGGCTACAAGTTTGTTTTGCTAGTCGGCCCGAATCAGTTTTCTAAAGCGTTTTTGAAAAATCACTTACCCCACCTTTAAACATGTTTAGGCATCATAGGTGTGTTCAAATTAAATGCTTTTGAATGAAAGATTTATGGCCATCTTATGAATATTTTAATATTTTAGTTTAACATTTTAGCCATCATAGACATATTTACATGTTTGAATTGAACCGTTTTAAACATCACAAGAACGTTTGAAGGTAACACTTTATTTTGATATAGTCCACTTGAAACATTCTACTAACAGTAAGTAAATTCGCAACTACTTGTCAACTAGCAGTCATTAGAGTATTAGTAGACTGTCTGCTTAATATCTTCTAATGCTTTATTTAATGTGTCCACAACATACAACATACAGACTATGAGAAACTTAGCAAGTATATGTCAACTTATTCTACTAACCCTAAACCTAACCTAATATCCCTTTCTCACAAACATCACTGGAAAGTTTGTAGTTCGGTCGGATATGTCAAAAAGAAGTAAGTAAAACAATGCACAAGTTACTTAATGGTAGGGAGGGAGAGAGAGAGAGCGCGCACTTCTGTTGTGTGAGCTTTATTGATGTTCGCTCGCTTAGCACGCATCACTTGGATTAAAACTAAATCCTAAATATAAGACAATTTATAGGGGCATTCACTATAAACGTCATTTATTTTCACCCTTAAGCATACATGACTTTCTGGCGAAAGTGAAACTAGCAGCCTGTGTGAAATGCGCTAGACTGTACTGTACTTGTCCCTCTCATTCTGCATCAGTACAAATACGTTTGAAGCATACATGACTTTCTGGCGAAAGTGAAACTAGCAGCCTGTGTAAAATGCGCTAGACTGTACTGTACTTGTCCCTCTCATTCTGCATGCGTTGCGCATGTTTTGCTTGCTTCATGAATGTTTCTGCACTATATGAGTGGCTTTGGAATATAAATCGCTGCATGTTTCAGATGAAAAAAACGCGACTTCCATTTATGAAAATATCACAGTTAGGAGATTTATAGCGAGTGGTTCCCTGCATTTTTACAGCAAAGCGCGTGATTACAGTAC